TTTTTTGATTCAGGGTTTCTTTGTGGAGCCCTGGCTGTCCTGGAACTCACTCTGTAAACCAGGCTGGACTTGAACTCAGAGATCCAGAGATCTGCCCATCTGCTTCCTAAATGCTGGGATTAAAAGCATGTGCTGCCATCACCACTCGGCCTTTATTATTATTATTGTTGTTGTTATTATTATTATTTTTTTTTGGTTTTGTTTTTCGAGACAAGGTTTCTCTGTGTAGCCCTGGCTGTTCTGGAACTCACTCTGTAGACCAGGCTAGCCTCGAACTCTAGAACTCAGAAATCTGCCTGCCTCTGCCTCCCAAGTGCTGGGATTAAAGGCGTGAGCCACCACCACCTGGCTATTATTGTTACTATTTTAAATCCTTTTAAATTAATTAACTTTACATCTCAAACACAGTTTCCCCTTTCTCTTCTCCAAGTTCATCACCCACCCCTATCTCATCCACTTCTCTTCAGAAAAGAGGAGGCCTCCCATGGATGCCAGCCTCGGCATCTCAAGTTGCATCTTATTGAGGTTACATGAGGCAGCCTAGCAGGGAAAGAGTCTCAAAAGTCAGGCAACAGAGTCAGAGACAGCCCCTGCTGTGGCTGTTTGGAGTCCCACATGAAGACTAAACTACACAACTCTTATATATGTGCAGAGGTCCTACGGAATGTGAGTTCAGCGAAGGGGTCTTGCCCACTGGACAAGATTAAGACTACTTCCACAACTTTTGAGCCGAATTTGAAGCAAACTTCATTAAGTTCTGACCGGGATGATGGACACTGGTCACGTCCTTACTGGCGATTCCCAGAATACAGTGCCAAATTACATTAGCTAGGGGCTTATAAAGACAAATCCCACAAGGTTAGGTACTTCCCGCTTTCATCCAATCAAGGACAAGGATACATCCTGACGTACTTCCTGCCTATGCACCTCCCACCTACGTGAGATCAATCACATCCTGTGCAGTTGGGGCAACTAAGCTTGTTTATAGAAATGAAAACAAGATGCTTGTTATCCTAAACAAACAATAGCTCCCAGGGCAAGTGAGGCTTACATGGTAGACATCTCTTAAACACAGTAATTAAAATTTAAAACGTAGCCAATCAGTGGTGGCGGCACATGCCTTTAATCCCAGCACTGAAGAGGCAGAGGTAGGTAGATCTCTTGAGTTCGAGACCAGCCTGGTCTACAGAGTGAGTCTCAGGACAGCCAGGGCTACACAGAAAATTTATCACTCTAAATGCAAATCTACTGGTTGATGTCTTGTGACTATCAGCACAGGCTTGAGATGGACTGAGAAAATACTGATTCAGTCAGGTTGGAAACACCGTAGAGTTCTCCTTCAGCTGAGCCAAAGTACCAATGTCACCGAGAACACGGGGCTTCAGAGACAAACATGGGGATGTTGACTCTGCAGGTGGTCTCTTCTGAAGAGGCAGGGATCTCTCACTCCTTCACCCCGACACGGGAGGTGCTCCAACCTCACATCGGAGTTTCAGTTTTTTCTTTGAGATGGGGGTCTCACTGAGGCTACCCTCGAACTCGCTGTGCAGCTAAGGCATGCATCATCACGCTCTGTCATTCGATGCTGGGCATCAGGCTCAGAGCTTCATGCTTTGAGGTAAACACTCTCCCAGTGGAGCCATAGCCCCAGCTCTCTGCTTTTATTTGGCAATTCCTTGAAGTCCTGTCTTCAAAACAAAACAAAACAAAACAAAACAAAACATCCAAAAAGATGAACTAAGCCCTTTCCTTCCCTAATTGGCTTTTAGTCAGAACATCTTTTCTAACAGTTTACTTCTATATTACATAATTCTATGTATGTATTTCCATGTGAGTTGCGTCCACAGAGGTCAGCAGAGAGCAAGCCTGAAGGGGTTGCTAGGAACTAAACGTTGAAACCACTGAGCCATTACTCTAGCCCTGGTGTTTGCCTGCTTAGTAACCTAGAAACAGACTAGACAAAGAGCCCTCAGTGCTGTCGCCACTTACTGAACACCGCTGCGCACCTGCGGTCCTGGGTTTTGTGACTGAAGGGGAAGGCACAGTACTTGCTTTGAATGATTCAGCCTAACAGTCACTATCTCTGTATAACCTTATAAAATTCTTGACTCTTAAACTTAGTATCTTAACTGCAACTAGAATTTGCTTCCATTAATATTTATAAACCAAATTATTAAAATTATTCTCAAGATTTAATAAATCACAGAAGCTGGGTTCAAGTGACATGGAGTATCTTCTTTAGGTGTATTTACATTTGCTTTTGTTTACTTCTCTGAGAAAGTGTAACATGTAAACCAGGCTGGCATGTAAACTTGCCCTGCAGCCCAGATGACCTAAACCTCCTGCTTCCACCTCTTAAAAGGTGGGATTAGTGTGTGCCACCATGCCTGGCTTTTGTGACTCTTGACAAGTTAATGTTCATGACAGAAGCCATCCTCAGTTACAACTAATCCACAAGTTATAAAAAATAAGCATGAATCTATAAAGCATTTACAGGGAACTGCATCTGCTTATCTTACTTTCTGGCTCATATAATTTACAGGTTTGGCTGGAGATAGCTTGGTGGTGAAGAGCAAGAAGTACTCGTTATCTCTCTCTCCCTTCCTCCACCCCCCCCCCCCAGGACCCAGTGTTGTCTCCGAGCACTCCAGTCAGGAGGTTCAAACTAATTGCACATGGAGTGAGGACAACCTGTGCATGACATAGAAGCAGAGGCAGGGGGATCTCTGTGGGCTCATGGTCAGCCTAGTCTATTGTGAGTTCCTGGACAGCCAGGGTTACAGTGAACAAATTAAACCCAAAACACTTGTCTGTTGTCAATCAGCCTATAAAGATTTTCTAACACTTCTGTTTACTTATTTTGGGGGGAGGGTTTGAAACAGGGACTCACTATGTAGCTCTTGCTGTCCTGGAACTCACTATGCAGATGAGGGTGATCTTGAACACACAAAGATTAGTCTGCTTCTATTCCTGAGTGCTGGGATTGAAGGTGTGGGTAGTGTTTGTGGAGGGCAAAGAACAACTCTTGGGAAACTGGCACTCTCCTTCCTATTTCATATGGATTCCAGGGATCAACTCTGTAAGTCAGCAGGTTTACTGAGCTTGCAACCATATCTACCCACTGAACTCACTCACTGGCCTCAAAAAAAACTATTTTTTTTTTTTTTTGGTTTGGTTTTTCGAGACAGAGTTTCTCTGTGTAGCCCTGGCTGTCCTGGAACTCACTCTGTAGACCAGGCTGGCCTCGAACTCAGAAATCCGCCTGCCTCTGCCTCCCAAGTGCTGGGATTAAAGGCGTGCGCCACCACCACCCGGCTTATTTTTTTTTTTTTTTTAAAGAAAGACATTTTCATTATTTGGTAATAAGATTTTATAACTTAAACCGATCTTTACCATATTCTTGTCACAGTTCATCTGAGACATCACACTGCAAGAGGGAATTTCTCAACCCCTGAGAGAGGAGGAGAGATGGCAGAAGGTGAAAGATGAAGAAATGACAGGAGGCAGAACGCACTATGCTGGCTTGGGGTCCTGAGTGCTCCATGATACAGATGACTGGAACAGCTTCCGACTGACATACATTCTCCTTAGAACTCTTCAGAGATGGTTTGCTTCTTTTATTGAAAGAAAAAATATTCAAATGCATGGTAAGAAATTAGACTTTTATCAGTACACAAGTTTACTTAAAATCAGCTCAATTCCATGTTTTAAAAAACTTTTATAACATCCTTCCAGTGATGTCTGCAACCTAGAAGTGATTTCTGTGGAACCTGTAGCACACTGAGGAATGGTGGTCTGTGATGCTCCAGGGACTCACACTTCTGACACCGAGTGAGATGGAACAAAACTTTCTTCCTTGGACGAACAGGTAGATTCATATATATATATAAAAAATGTGGTGGCCACGTCTTTAATCCCAGCGCTCTGGGAGGTGGACTCTGTGAGTTTCAGGCCAGCCTGGTCTATATATCCAGTTCAGAACAGCCAGTAAGATTATGTCTCCAGCTGTCAAAAGAGTTCCAGCACTTCGATGGAGTATAGTCTCCTACTGTTCTTCTCCTGATTTAATCGCTGTAGCTCCCGGAAGCTGACTTCAATCTTGTTGAGCTCGGAATAGATGGAGATCTGTAGAAATGAGGACCCAGAGTAACTGTATGGAACTCCACGTAGAGCACACCTTCCAATCACTACCAGTGGTTTCTCTAGTTTCCTGGTACTGGAATGAGTTATGAGTCTTACGTATGTGTTGTTCCTTCTACCATGAGCTGACTCCCACCTCTTCATAGGCAATTTAAAGGATAAGTTGTATAAATTATACTCATGCCCAGTTAAGTTCTTTAAAAAAAAAAAAAACTTATTTAGCCGGGCGGAGGTGGCACACGCCTTTAATCCCAGTACCTGGAAGGCAGAGGCAGGCGGATTTCTACAGAGTGAGTTCCAGGACAGCCAGGGGTACAGAGAAACGAAAAAAAAAAAAGTCTTATTTATTTATTAATTATGCATACAGTATTTTGCCTGCATGTGTGCCTGCAGGCCAGAAAAGGGCACTAGATCTCATTATAGGTATTTATGAGCCACCATGTGGTTTCTGGGAATTGAACTCAGGACTTCAGGAAGAGCAGTTGGAGTTCTTAAACTCCTGAGCCACCTCTTCAGATCCCAATTAGGTTTTTTTGTTTTGTTTTAAAGACAAGGTACTGCTAGAAACAAGCCACTGTCCCTTGGACCTATGGGGTGGGAACTCTCTAAGGACGTGCTCCACCCTACACATCCATGCTTCGGCACCCACCCACCCATCCACCCACCCACCCACCCACACACACACACACACACACACACAGACCTCACTCAAAACCTAAAAATATTACATAATCACAAACCTGAGATTTCACAAAATTGTAAAGATTAAGCAAAAGTCTTTTTGCTTCTGGAATCATTAAGACGACAGTAAAATTAGCATCTAGAAGTAGGCATATCCAATCCATAATCTGGAGATAAATACAGAAAAATTAATTCATTAATTCAAGTCCTTCATGGTCTCAAACAGAAGAAAAGCCAATCTTTTTTTTTTTTTTTAAATATGGAACGCTTCACAAATTTACGTGTCATCCTTGTGCAGGGGCCATGCTAATCTTCAATGTATCATTCCAATTTTTTTTTTTTAGTATACGTGCTGCCTAAGGGAGCGCTTGGTTTTTTTGTTTTTTTGAGACAAGGTTTTACTATGTAGCCCTGGCTATCCCAGAACTCATGCAGATAGACTATAGAGATCTGCCTGCCTCTACCTCTGAAAAGTGCTGAGGTTAACGGTGTGTGCCAACCAACCCTCAGCTTAGAGATGGAATAATTTCTAAGGAGCATAAATGTTTTCTTCCTGCTTTTATACTTTGTAAGGAGAACATTAGTCAGTGATAAGAACATTAGGTCAGATCTAATCCAGCATTTAGCACTAGCTGGCTTATACAGAAAGCTTGTTTTCTCAGGCACAGTGGCTCCCATCTGTGACTCAGCACTGCAGGATGACTGGTATGAGTTCTAGGCCAGCTGGGCTACAGTGAGACAGTCTCACCAAAGGAGAAGGCAAAATATTATTTTTTAAAAATAATTATCTGTAATGACATGAAAAAAACCCATTTACCTTTTACCCTGACTGACATGTCACAAGTGCTGTGTATCACAGACATAGTGTCACAGATACTATGGCCTAAAGTGAAGATAATGCAAATAAGATATACATTTACACAAGTACACTACACAGTTCCACACCGCCAAAGGTGCTAGGAAATACACAGATATGAAAGACATTATGAAATATCTACTTGTAAGGGAGCGCTAACTCCACAAAACTCCAAAGTAGCCCCAAGCACTTGAGAGTTCAAGGCCAGCGTGAGCTCTAGAGTGAGACTCTGCCTCAAACCAACAAAACAAAAACAAGAAAATAAGTAAATATACAATACATACGAGTCAATGAATTAAAGGAAGAGTCCAATGCATCTTATATGTAAAAATTAAAATTTGCCTAGAAAAAAAATTACACTGAAAAGATGAGGAGACGACAGGAGGTCCCACCCTCCCTGAGGGACTGGACTGCTAGCAACTCCCAGTTGGTGAGGGGCATCTATCCAGGGGTACAGCTACTGGAAAGCAGCCCCTGATCTACTCAATGACTTCCATCCATGCTCTTGAAGGAGCCCTAATCAGAGTCAGTGGGTCTCACGCAGACATGAAAGTGAAGGGTGTGTCTCAGAAAGAAAGGGCTTCAGCAGGAGAGGGAGGGAGAGGGTTAACAGGAAGACAAGGACTGAAACCACTGTATACGTAACACATGAAAGTGTCAAAGAATGAATTGAAATTTACTCAATATATAGGGACTGTTTATAACCCACCACAAACAAAAAATACAACAGAAAGATGGATAAAGAACCTGACTACATATCTCACAGAAAGAAATAAAGAAAAACTACTGCACCCTCTGTCAAAGAAATATAAAGACAAGACAACACTGTTCCCTACCTGATTAACAAGCGTAAGAAGCTTGACACTACTATCAGGTGTGGCAGAATGTGGAGACTAAAGCCCCAAACTTCAGGGTTAGCCCCATCACAACTGTTTGGAAAGGTAATCTGGCATTCTGAAAACTGAAAATACATGCCTGTTTCACTCAGTGTCTTTCTTGTCGGAATGCACCCACAAATACATCTATGTGAAGATTAATGTACCAGGCTAGAACATGTCTGTAATATGGCATTGTAATATGAGACAGTATTTTTAGACACAAAAGAAATGTTTCTGATTTTTGTTTGTTTTCTTGAGACAGGGTTTCTCTGTGTAGCCCTGGCTGTCTTGGAACTTGCTCTGTGTAGATCAGGGTAGCTTCAAACTCCCTCTGCCTTCTGAGCGCTGGGATTAAAAGTGTGCACCATTATGCCCAGGTCCACAAAAGAAACTTAATGTTGGTCGCCTCTAAGAGGGGCTGGAGGGGCAGAGCTGCAAAGCTTACTCCCCCCCCTTTTCCTTTTTTTTAAGGCAAGGTCTAGCTATGAGAACTCATTATGTAGATCAGACAAGTCTTGAAAACACAGAGATCTACCTGCTACTGACTTTTCAGAATTAGGATCAAAGGCCCGTGTCACCATACCTGGCTCCAAAGTTTACTTTTTGAAACCTTTTTGATATAGAAACTCCCAATTACAAAGATGACTTTGGGATTCTGTAATCTGGAATTATGACTCTAGATATCCATCTACTGAACAGAGATGCCCTCTCCAATCCAACAGTGTGCATGAGGGGAGAGATGGTGTCTACTCATCTTGGACAACAGGGAGAAATCAGTTACGAAAGTCCAGGGCTGACGTTGTATGCAAGGTGTCTGTACAAAGGCAAAAAGATGTCTGACCTGGCTCACGGTTGGAGGGTTTACTCCAGGGAGAGTCATGGTAGCATTGCCAGTACACTTCAAATAGAGGAAATACAGATACTGGAGAAACAGCTGTAAGGGAAAGAGGGCACAATTATCCACTGTGGTTAAACAATGTTTCCTACAAATAAACCCAATAGATATTAGAAAAAAGTTTTGAAGCTGTTCAACTAAAAATTATCCATCAAGCAAACGAGTAAAACATTTTTACTCATCACCAAGATCTCTCAGTGAGGGCAGATCAGTAAACAGGTGACAACTTCTCTTTTTTGTTTTCAGTTGTCTTTTCAATGAAAACTTGTCTAACCTGGTTTCCAAACAGGACAAAGAACACACCAAGGCCAATCACCCCCAAACCACCCCTGCTCGGCTCCTGAGCACATGTAACATGTGTGGACCTCTTTCTTGTGCATAGGACAGTATCCTGCGGTATTCAGAACGGTCTATCAGATGCTCAGAACTAAGCAGCACAACTTAAACCAGAAATCAAACGCACGAGACACGCAGCACACTTACCGTGATATGCTTCCCAGGGACGTCCTTCAAGTGTGGCAGGAGGAAGGGCTCACTGTATGCGGAATGAAGGACTGCATTTCTACCCAGGACTTAAGGAAAATCGTCAGTGGAAGAAAGGCTGCTCTGGTGGATGCAGTTCCCTTTCATGTTTTAGAAGATCAATACCCTGCTATTGTCAGAGCTCAGGGCCACTGCTCATGGGGAAACAATACTTCTACAGAATGGATGGAGCTTGCACATTACCACAGCTTGTGCGCTCCTTCTCTCTTTCCCTCTTTTTTATGGGTACAGAGTCTTACTCTAGCCCAGGCTGGCCCTGAACATTCAGCAATTCTTTTGCTTCAGTTTCCCAAGTTTTGGATTACAGGTATGAGGTCTAGTATAGCTTCTTAACCAGACAAGCGACATGGTAGCACCCACCTGTTAACTTCACACTCAGCAAGTAGAAACAGGAGCACGCCAAGGCTGTCCTTGGCTACACGAGTCACAGGATATGTGTCAGAACAAAATTAAGCCAAAAGATTCAACAAAAGATTCCCCAAAGAAAATAGAAAAAAAATGGCCAGGAAAAGCAGCACTGAGGTAGTGTTTGCCAAGCATGCATATGACCATGGCTATAATCAACACCCCCCCAACACACACACACACACACACACACACACACACACACACACACACACA